AGCAGGAATATGATTGAAAAACTAATAATATAAATGTAAGATATTGACTGATGTATGCACTAATAGCATCTGACTTTTAGCACTGGCCTTGATTATACAGGAGATGGAGCAGCCGTTACAATTCAGAAAAAAACAATTAATAAATCATTGTCAAATTTTGTAACAATTTGTTTCAAGCCTGTATTTTAGTTGATAGCCTCCACATTTGTATGGTTAAGTCATTGTTGCTGTGTTTCCTTTCTGTGACCCCAATAATTTTTCTCCCTTCATTTGCGGGTCTTTAGGATGTTGTGAAGGTTCATTCCTGTACCCCTATATGGAATCACTCCCTCTAGCTGCCTTTTCTAGCACCATTACACTTAAAAAAATAAAATGCACAAACAACAAGCAGTGACAGTGGCCACTCTTCAACTGTCCAGGATGAATTACGGTAGCATGCTAAAGAAAGGTGCATGTAAGTAGCCGGATATGGTAAACAGGCCAAGCTCCAGCGAACTATATTCCTTTCTGAGCATTACTTTCCATCCCCCATCCAAAATACATGCATTAGAATGTAGTAAAACCTTCTAGAAACATCTCTCAGCCAACTGCAGACTTTTCTGTTGCCACACAAGTGCAAAAAAAGGGGCAGGATGTGAACCTGTATATTTTCAAAACTTTGTTTGGTGACAGAACACAAAAGGAAGAATTCCTACGTATACACATTAGGTCTGTCTCCACTTTTATAAAACTGGAATAAAATGGGAAAGTGCCATGTTTATAGTTCCTAATTGAAGTTTTAATGTCCTTTTGACACAAAAAGGTATATACATATCAGAACTACATTACCTTTTTTTTTTTTCCCCCCAAATGGACAAGTGTCAAACCCTGTAGATTTATAGGGAAAAACAAGATTGGTCAGGAAAGAATTGTTCCTATAATTGGTAATCTGACACTATGTCCTTTTGCCATTTAAAAAGGTCCTTTTTTCAGTTTATTCAAGTTTGTTACTCCTCGTGGTTGGTTTTTTTTGTGTGTTTTTTTTTTAATCTCCGATAAAAAAAATATTCAGACTTTTGTAATCTGCGTATGCTGATCTTCATCAAAAGGTTCATTCTCTGGATCAGAGTCAGTGGTGTCAGAGTATCTATAATGATCAGGTTCATTGTCACTAACATCTGGTGTTACAGAAGTTGAACTGCTAGCCTCTGGGTTTGATGGCTCTTCTACTGTTTTTGTGAAAAATAGCTTCACCTGGGAAAGGAAAAAACAACATTTAAAAAGGGAACCTGGACTTTAACCGAGCACAGGTAACAATGCAATTTTTAACAGCATGGCTCCTTTTACTACACTGAATCACTCAAGTGCTCCTCTCTTTACTCTGGAAAGAAGGAAATAAAGAAAGAGCTCTTCTGAGGTTAGTCAGCCTCTCACTACCAGCCCTGACAAAATGAAGAACTAGCAAAGCAGCAAGTTTTTCAAGCCCAGCTGAAGGAGTTCTGCATATCTGTACCAACCAATAGTACTCTGAGTTACAGCAGCAGGACATAACACTGCGGCGGGCCATGCCACAACAAGCTTTTCAACCGTCCTACCTTCTAGACCTCTGCAAGTACAAAGAGATTGTAGTAAGAGTGTACAGGAATGAACACTCTATAACTGGGGAGGGGAGGGGGGGGCGTGTGCGTGTGTGTGTGTGTTTTAAAAGTCAAGCAACATTCCAACAAGCAACTATGACCATTACCTTCAAATGAGCACTGCTGGGGTCTAACTGATATTTTATGAGCAAGTTAGAAAAACGCTAAAATTCTTAAAAATGCCTTTTTCATTTTTAAAAACAGTGCTGGCAATGGCTCATTCTTCAAAGCTAAAATCACAGGTTAAGGTATCCCCATGATGCAGGCATCTCTGCAAATCAACTCAGGACATACTGTGTAAAGGTCAGAGCTCACGGCAATGCAGCGGGTACAGGAAAGATGCTACCTGGGTCTCTGGGTCTCCTACTACTCATCTCTAATGGCTTTGAGAAATACCTGAAACAACCCGAAGCCTTTTCTCCCAGTCTCTGAACACCTATCAACTTCCCAAAAAGCAGATAAACTTACAGAGCTAGCTTTGCTAAGTGGTGGCAATACTAATATATTAATTCAATTTCCACGTAGAGAGCAGTTTCAAATGGTTCCTCCATAAGGCAAGACAGACAAATCAGATAACGTCATGCAGCTCTTCAGCTTTGTTTACACATAATATATACTGACCTTGAAGTTTGGAGAGAAATATCTGTTGGCTTTGTCTTTATTTGCTTTGTCTAGATCGTTTTTTGTTAATGTAAGGATTAAATATTCCTTATCATTATCTGAGCGCTCTGTACTGAAAATACCATCAAGTTCCTGATCTGCAACTAGACTTCCATTTTCTACTTTGTCTGAATTTTCATCCAGTCCTATGAAGAATGTATTTACCCAAAAGTGAAACATTTTGTCCTGGGGGAGGAAGAACACAAAGAACAAGCTTTCTTTAGTATTCAGTAGTGGCACATTAATTAAACTAACATCATCAGCTGGTCAAAAACAAATTGGTAATATGAGACAAAATTTGTTTGGACATCATTGGTTACATTACATGCAAAGACATTTTCACCAATTCTCCTAGACAATACACAAAACTCTGCATTAATCAAACTCAATTTTAACCAATTAAGTTTTCAGAAGTCACTCCTTATCTATCTTACCTACAAAAAAAGCAGATGACAATAAATTAAACAAATGTTAAACTTCTAATCACAAGGCATAAAGAGATTTTTTTGCTCATACCTTGCCAAGCAGTAGCCAAACCCAACAGACAACCTGAACAAGCTTAGGTGAGTCATATTTATCAATAGAGAACATCCTCTCCCATAGCTTCCTGCATAACACAATGCTTTTCTTTATTTTTATACAGAAACAGCAGTAATTGAGCAAAAACACCCTACAAATACAGGCCTCCTATCATAGTGGATTCATTACTGCTTTATGGAGATGGTTTCTACCAGTCAGGTGTTTGCTGACCAGTACTAAGACAAAGTCTGACTCTGAAAGTGTCTGCTGTCCATCTACTCAACAGGAAGTTCTTAACAAGAAGATGAGGCATTGACAGTTTAAGGATATTTGACTGAAGCAGAACTTGACAGATTACCATCAACAGCTGGAAAGGTACAAGTGAGAATATCCACTATAACACTGCAACAGGTATACCTGTACAAAAAGGCAAATTATAAATGTATCAGTGATTTTAAAAAGTCACTGGAGAACTAACTGATATCAGCCAGTATATTACATGCTTATCGTTATGACTAGTAGGGTCATTGTGAATGTCTGTCTCCATATGTGCTACTGAACAAGCAGCCATGTTTTGCTCTTGGCTAGACAATCTCTGAAGATTATATGCCCAGGAATTTCATCTTTAAGCTCTCAGCTAACCAGATCCGTAGAATGCACTGAATGCTCTTGTTTTAGTTCTCCATCACTTGCCATACTTCTGTCAGTCAAGAGCTGATGTTTCCAAGATAAACTACCCTTAGTAGGTTAGTCCTGACTAGCACATTAAGCACTTCTCCATCTGAAACCGAGCTACATTTACTTCCTCTTTACAAATGAAACCTTCTATTTTACTCTGATTTGAGCTTTCAGGCAAAAGATCCAAAATGCAAATGGCCAGTCTTCCCACAATAGTCAGTATTTCTGCATTTCTGTTAAAGCTGCAGGGGAGACAAAGCTAGCACATACCAGAATCTAACATTCCTTGATATTATACAGGACCAGAACACAAACCAACTGAGCTAATTTACATATTGTAGTTTACCAGAGAGATCTAATTCCAATTTCTTATGGGAAAATCCAGGTCCTGCCCCACCTTCCTAGCTATTCACCTCTGCTGGTAAGCAGGGCGGGGGAATCAGAGGTGGAACAGAAGTGGTTCTAGTGTGTATGATATGAGCATGCCTCCCTGCTGAAGGCAATTTGGCACCAGTAAAATACCACATTTTCCTGGGCCAACGAAAAGGGGGCAGGGAAGAGCTGGACTACTGCTTGACTTGTATTCTTCTTCATCACAAATTAATAAAACAAATACACAAATAAAACAAACACACAAATACTGGGAATTCAGAAGTGTCTGATGAAACAACTTCTACCTGCCTCCTCTACCAAAGGTCAGTAGACCCATTTTCAGTATTTTAGGTAAAGCATACAAAAACACTTCCAGCTTGTGTGCATTTCTGTAAGCACCTAAGGACCTCCAACCTGTAAGGAAGTGCAACAGCAAAGATAAAAGTTAAATAATTCAGTCAGAAACACTTCTGGTAGTTAAGAAGTTATTCACTCCAACACATGCCTCTCCAGTACCTTTGGGAATCAAGTTAATCTACCAAATTAACATGCTGTAATTACAGTTGTCTTGGGAGACTAACAGATGTTTGCCACTACCACCAAGTCCCTTCAAGCCATCACATCTATGAAGAAGCCTTGTTGGAGCCCATCCATGCAAGGCAGCAGTCAGTAGGTTCTTGCCAGGCCCAAACTGCTCATTCACATAGCACCCTCTTCTTCTTTCCTAATGCTATCTCAGAAACAGTCTTAAAAATTCCCACACCCCAGGATCTGGAAGTAGAGGATGAACATCCTGGGCAAGAGGGTTTACTCTTCTGTAATGTTCCAATGAGTCATCAGCCTGCCTGCTGATGTCTCATGAAGAAAGCGGCAAAATCCCCATGAAGACATCTTCAGGGTAACCTGGTCCAGGCTCCTCCTATGCCCAGATGATGAGTCCCTCAAAAAGATACATAGTCCTCCAAGGAGATGAGATTGCTAACTCCTGCTCAAACCGAAAGACCAGTTCAGGTCAAAACAGAAACAACCAATGGCATCAGCTTTCCAGCTACAGCACAGGAGGGATTTGGAGTCCAAGTGCCATCTGCAATAAACAGCGGGAAAAAGCAAGCCTGAACTGATGTTTCCAGCACCCAACAGCTCTATAAGCAGGTGGATATACCACCTGCAGTCTCACCACTGGTGAAGAAGCCATCCTTCCAGTGAGGATTTAGAGAAGAAAGTGCAATTCCACACCACGACCACACTTAAGGGAGCTCCCACCTCTTGTGGCTGGGGTGATGGTACTACTATGTTTCATCCTTCTCAGGACCACAATGCAGAAGCAGCAATGCACTCTGGTACTGGTCCTCAGTGCCACCCATGACAGCTCCAGTGAGGTTAGCAGAGGAGAGGACAAAGCTGATGAACACGCTGCAGTGGATGGATGGAAAATGGCTTATACCAACAGTGCTGAAGCAGCTTTGGAGAAAAGCAGTGCCAAAGCAAACAAGGCCACTGGACGTAAACCAATGCCAGCAGAAGCAGAAGGCATGGTCTTGTCATGCCTCACCTTAAACTTCATCTGGTGGAGCAGAACCAGGAAGGATTTACTTGGCATTTAAGGGCCTGCCTGAACAAGCAACTGCAGGCACTCAGCTTTACTGATAAGAGTCTGGAGAAGACAAGACAGACGACAAAATTCTCACTAGGCATCTTTTAATCTGTTTTCCTTGGGATAAATTTGCAGATGTCTTCAGGGACTCAAACTAAACAATACAACTTGGCCGAGCTGGTCATTTATCCTTTTATCTTCCTCCAGCTTTTTAAAGCACCAAGTTATTTTCCTTCCTTTCCCACTACACTAACTTAATTAGCTTAATAATCTAAGTTCATGGGTACTGGAACATGGCACGGCCACTCAAATTGAGCAAAGACTTGGTTATGTTTTTTGGAATTAGCTCTTAAGGCTGATAACTGTGTCACTGCTTTCACTGAAAACCAAAATTCATTATTCAAAGTAAGGATTCAGCCAGCTTCAGCTAAAGCATCAGGCTCCAAGATATTTCATGGGAGACAATGAAGAAAGTTGATGTAATATGGGCCAAAGATAGGAATTCTAAAAATCAAGGCATTAACTGAACTCAAGCTTTATATAGCAAATTAGAATACCAGCTCAAGTCCTCACAGGAACACAATTTAATGAATAGGTTCCTGAAAATGATTATTAGCTAGAGGCTTTTTTTGAATGTGTTTTGCTTCACTTCCAGTTACATCACAGGCATCTACCCTAAAAAAACAGATCACAGATGTATTTCTTCCCATAACCAAATCTGTATCATAAAATCTACAGTGCAGTATCAGACACTTGAGACAGAACCTGATTTAATCACATTATTTTGACATACAATACTTATCCCTACCTTGTGCAGTTTTTTCAGTTCTCACACTGACAGAAAAATATACCTCACTCTAGAGCCGATATCTGCCTCTAACTGCAGACTGAGATCCAAATCCAAGATCATTTAAACCATCAGCTAGGAGTTCCTGTATCCTCCTGAGAGTTTAATTTTGCAGAGAGATCTACAGGCACTTATAATCACTTTGCAGCACCAGCTACGGGTTTTGGAGATGCTATCCAGCAATCAGAAGATGGAGATCATGTTTCAACCTATTCCATGCTGGCCTCACAGCCTTCCTGTAGTCATGGCTGATGGAACTTCTTGTACCATTTTCAGATCAACAGTTAAAGTGTCCTGACATTTTCAGAGTTCATTCTTCAGTGTTTTCTAAACAGCAATCACCCAAAGTCCTCTTGAACTGTGTAGCAGAACTTCTTACCCAACATCTAAATGGCATACCCAACAGCTCAAACAATGCTGTCAACCCTGCAAACACTAGAGTATGGGTATAAAACAGCAGTGACTCTTACAAAAACCCCCATACCAACATTTTCTTCTCATCTATACTGGGAGGACTGCTGAAAAAGGTCTCCTTTACCCCCAGGCTCTGCAGGCAGGAAGATGACAAGATCTTCTGTATTATTTTTAAACAGACTCTCACTGAACCAAGTGATGTAAGGATACTCTGAAGTACTTTAAGATCACCATGTCAACATCAGTAACTGGAAGAAAAAGGCTGCACACAGATACATGGAAGCAAACCTAGAGAGACAACAGCAGCAGTCTGAGATGGAAAAATAGCCAAGCTACAAGTCAGAGAAACAAAAATCATGCTAAAAAACCCCCACAAATTACTAACTTCCATCCATCAGAAACTCATACATAATAACTGACTCAAGCCTCAAGCCATTTTGTTCTCATATGATCATGCATTTCATTCTTGAAAGGAAGTAGCTACATCATACTGAAGAAACAGTCCAAGAATAAAGTAAACAACTTTATTAGACAAGACAAAAAGTTGTGGACTTGCTAACTGATGCCAGGCGGCACAGATTATAGAAGAGCTGAAACAGGGTAACATTTTCAAATCAGTCACCCTCTTACCAACATCTTCTTACCAGCACCAATAATCCTTTGGCTGAGGTCATCTCTTGCTAGCCACTGAATTTGCTTAAATTAAGTTTTGCCATTAAAAAACACAGGACACTTGACTGCTTTAAATTTCATACTAACACTGTGATGCTACATACTTGAAGTCACTTGGTCATTCAAGTTTGTTTTGTTTTATGCATAATAATTTTATCCAAGAGCTTGATCAAAGTTGAGAAGGACCCTCCATACTACAGAGCTCTGCAGATAATGCTACTGTTCCTCAGAGGATTAAGAAATTTGAAAACAAGTACAGGTGAGCAAATCTGGAGCACTTCAGCTGAGATCAGTGGTATCAAACACCAAACCAGACCCAGCAGGAGGACACAGAAGATTGCTTTATTTCCGGAGATGAGACATAGCCATTCTCCAGGCTGAGGCCCAGAATGCATTGAGAATTAATGTTACTAGTTTTTTGATTAGGTTTCTTACGGAAAGTTAAAATGCAGAGTGGTAGATATGTGATGCCTTTAAGCATGTGCAAGAAAACTTGTTTAGCAGCTAACAGAAAACCTTGGAAGAGCAAGAACCAGCGACGGGCAACAGGTCTGTACTTCCAGCTTTCATAAACACATGTGAATAAACCAGAACCTCTGGAAAATAAGATCCTGTTACTCCTAATTATGCTGTTCCTCATGAATTAGGTGATCACTGCATAGAGGTGATCTCCAAAATGTGACAACTCTCCACAGCCCTCTCTTTTGGGGTTTTGAGTAAAAACTGCGTGGACTCATTTTATCTAGAAAAGGAATAGGCACAGATGTGAAACACTTGTGCAGAGAACTGTGTTCAACTTTGTGCCAAGGTAGGTTTTCTGCCACATATATTCACCTTTGCCCTATTCCCACCGTAGTCACTTTACGTAACGTTGTCAAAAGGACCATGTGCAAGGATCTCCTCTAGTGCCAAAGCACATGTCACAGATGGAATATTTCACTAATTCTCAATATGAAGACCTCAGCAGTGGTTTCATATAACAGATGAACATGCTTACATCCGAGACGATCCACTGACCCAGTCCCAGATGCCCTCAATTCATGTCTGCGTTTACTGGAGAAACTAACAGAGGTGGTCTTACCAGAACTGTGTAACACCATATTCCTACTTTCTTTTGGCCTCCATTCTTACACAAGGTTGAAGGCAATTAGACACTAGATTCAACAGATCTTTGAGGCAGATTATCAAGGTCATTTCTTTACAATTGTAAAGACTTCTGTCTGGTGAAGGGACAGTTCCTATCTCTCAGAAAAGCTTGCAGATGTGGAAAGAAGAGCTTTCACCATCTCAGCATTTCTTGGCCCTAGCAGTCCAAAAACACTGAGAAAAGAAGCACCTCTGCACTATCTGTAATCTACAGAACCTGAATAGTTCAGGTACTTGATAAAAATAGACAAAAAGAAAAAAAAAATCAACCAGCTACTCAGAAACTACAAAGAGATTCTTAAGAAATGAAACCATGGCTGATATGACAGTCTGAAATGAAACTACAGCATAGTAACACGCTTGCTGCATTTCTGCAGACAATTTTACACTCTCTTGAAGACGGAATTTATGCTACAGAAATTGTATGTGATAACAAGGAGATCTAGTTTATGCTGTCACTGGATCTCAGTACTCTCTATAGAGGTAAAACAAACACAGGAGTTCGTTCCTGGTGCTACAGAGCCAAGATCCAGCATCTGAGCTGTGCACTGATATTTCAGGGGCTTACTCAAAAGGGGCAGTGCAGCACAATGCTTCCTACAAAGCCCATGTGCAATCCATACATTACTGAAGATGGTAAAGAAATGACAAATTCACAGTTAAGACAGGACAGAGACTGGATAAAACAGGACCTTGTCTCAGATATCTGGGGTTTGTTTCATCTCCTCCCTGCATCCTTCATGTCCAGACCACAGTACTTATCTGGGTGCTCCTTTACAAGTTCGTTCTCAAAACTAGCTCCTGTGCGTTGCAGTTTTAAATGTCAATAATTTTAATGTTCTACTTTTAAAATGCTTTGTTTTACAGTTCTCTGTATTGCATATAGCCACACTGACCAAGTAAAACATCTCATTAAACAGGCAGAAGAAGAAAATATTCCCATTAAGAAACCTTAAAAACTTTTGCAGACACCAGCACATAGCAAACAACAGAACATGACATTTCTAGCTAGTGAAATTACACCATTAAACTAGTTAACAATGCCTTGTAACTGAACAAGCCCACAAAATAGCGTACCTGTGTATTTACATACACGTCTAGTAGGTACAACCTGCGTGCAGAGTTATAAGAGACTCTGTTATCTCACCACTTATGTTTGTCTCCCAATCCACTCTGGCATTTTCTTATTTTTATGCTTTGCCTGTACACAGGATTCACTCAATGAATGCTCTTAAGTTTTATAACATCCATTAAGAGTGAAGAACTATCCATGAAGAATTTTAAGTAGTAAATACAAAAGTAGCCTTTAATCAACATGATCTCTTCCTCACCTTTCACTTCGGTAGATGCAAACCAGCCCCACAAGCACCAGAATTAATGAAACCCAGTGATGAGGCATTTATCTTTAAGAACTTGCTGACTTTGGTGTCAAAATAAGTTCCAGATGCATTTTTTCCACAATTGAGACACTGATAAAATTCTCAGTTTTAAGTGAATTCTCTAAATGTCTAATGTCAAGGCATTGCAGCTGGGAACCAAGAGATGGCTGAACAGATTGCAGAGGTACTTTTACGAAGTGCGTAGGAACTCAATTACCTCGGAAATTCAACCAAATTTGACAGATGGGTAGAAATCAGCCAACGGCACACAGACAGGATCTTCTGTGCCTGCTCAAACCTTAGGAAAATTTAGTGAAGAAAACAGCTGGAGTTAACTTGCTCAGTATGCAAGTCTATTTTTAGAATGAGAATGCTTCTTCCTCAATTAGATTACTCACTACTACCCAAATGACTGCAGTACATATCCAGTATAATTTTTAGCCGACCTTTGTACTTAATCTCACCAACTCTCAAAATATCCAGCTTTCATTTTGTGGTAGATTCTCTCCTTGGGAAAACTAGACATCGAAGAATTAAATACAGTGACTACACATCACTGAAGAATAACCAACATCCCAACCCTGCATCAGTATTGGCTCAACAACATTTTCCAGAAAAGCGAGAAAACCAACCTTTTTCAACATCTTGTTCTGTTTGTGGAAAAATTCCACTTTGATATCACCGCATACCGGCAAAGGTTGAGGGAATTCAAAGTACATATACTTGTCTTCACGTCTTGAGGGTCCTGAAGGGGAGGTGAATATCTTTACCTTTAGCTGGTACACCACAAACTGAGGATCTGCATGGCAAAACAGAGCGTCACTTCATAAGAAATGCCTTAAAGTGTCATAAAGCACAATATTAGTATCAGAATCACAATCATGAGCTACGATATTTTGAAAGTTAAATAAATATCTATTAAGAGTTAAGCACCGCAGGCCATCAAACTTTGCTAGATGTTACTGGAAACAACCCAATATATTTCAGTCCTTTGTAGCAATACTCTCAGGCAACCACAGGGTTCCTAGAAAGTTGCTGTTTCCTTTTAATATAATAAGAAATTACTATATGAAGTGACAACTGCTTGACTTTGCCTTGCGTATTGCCCCTTATCTCTATATTATATAGATGTAACTGAGGGGTTTTATTCTCTCTCATCTCTTCTTCATATTGCAGAGTGGGCAGTCATGCCAGCACAAACTGATTTCTGCTTACACAAACAGAACTGTTATACGAACAAAAACAAGGACAAAATTTAACATTAATACACAAACCAACCAGCACCGACAGATTATATAGACACAGACTGTAAGTCTGTCCTGTAAATCACCATCACCAAAAAAGTGGCAGCCACGGCCTAATGTTCCAAATTAAATCTGCAGGGGTAACAGCTGAAATTATGAGGGTTTTTTTGTGCAGCCTAAGCAGATTTTCTTTGGAAGCTGCCAGACACCAGCATGAAAGTCAGAAATATTACATGAAACTTATTCGAAGAAGTCTTTCTGCATTCACTCCTGACTTCTCTGTTAGTATCAGATGCAGACTGCTCTCTAGACAATACACACTGAACATACCCTGCCATAGAGTGCGTAGCCACCCTGAAACCACCCCTGCAGAGCTGTGGAAGTCCCAACAGAGCATACCCGCACTATCTTGCTGAATGGCCTAGCTATAAAATCGCTACTTATCTCCCTCAAATCCTCAGAGCCGTGAAACCCTCTCAACCCTTCATTTTGCCTGAGAGGCATGGCTCTGCTCAGTCAGTGACTTTAAAACAGAAGGAAGATAACAAGGAAATCAGATTTGAAGTTATCACGTGTTGGTAAAATTACTGCCATCGCAGTAGATAACACAACTAAAGAAATAACACAAACCATTAGTTCCACTTTCTGAAAAATCACTGAGAACTCCACAGGAACATGGAATATTGCAGTACACAAAAATGTTGAAGTTGATAGTTACTCTGTCTTCTCAGGTACTTAGCAAATCTTTGGTTTACCCTAAAATCCTACTGTGAAAATAGCATGCTAACAGCCTGTTACAGACAAAACAAGTTAATGCTCACGCGAGCAATTCATACTTGTAGCTTGACTTCTCAAGTATAGCACAGTTTATGCAAAACATTATGTAAGTGGTAATTGCAGAAATCTGTAACCTCCACACCTCTACCTTACAGGCAGAGGTCTTTTGGCAGAGGCTCCTCCCTTCCTCCTCCTCCTGTAAATACAGCTAGCTTGCCAAGCTGCTTGACCGTTTCTTATGTGCGTTATATGTTCAGGTATTGTCTTACAACAATATTAATAGTGCAATTTTAATCAAAGCCACAGGAGGCACTGGAATTAATTACACATTACAGTAATCCCCATAGCAAAACCATTAGAAAGACTTTTTCCACTAACAAAAAAATGAATATGCAACACTAGGCAGTTACTGTCCTGTAATGCAGCCCACAGATGGACAGAAGTGAATTCATATTTATACTTCAAAGTTTCAAGGAATCTGCTGTTCTTTACTAACACACTGTGTATCAGCAAACCAGATTAATCATTTACAGGTTTATTAATACTTCACAAGGCTCCATATAAAGAAAAGTTTATTCCAGAGTTAATTAGATATTTACCTAGTTGAACCCATTTTTTTTTTTTTAAAAACATCATGGGAAGAATGATGTTGCTGCATTTGAAGCCAACATGCCATTAAGCAAATGTTTTTCAGCAATTCATGTTTCCCAAGAGTTGCTATATTAAAAAAAGGCTTTTTATAAAAGTAAGGAGCAAATATCCAAATATATATGTCACCGCTTATCTTCAAACCATTAAACACTTCCCAATTTAAAACAACCATACAACTTCACAGACCTCAATTTACTACACCTGGAAGATGCTAGCGGATATACCACACTAACCCAGCAGATTTTGGATCATGAAGCATTTAAGTACGATCTTCTCCTCCATCAAGATGCGCAGCTCTTCATGTCACGTAACAGAATGGTAACCGTCACATAACCAAACCAAGTTCAAAGGCCGATGCGTTTCCTTACAAGAGCTAACGGAAGTTAATGGGGTGCTGGGTACTTACTGCAAGTTCCGCCGCTGAACATAGGAATTGTTTCAAACATCATCTTGTGAAACAGCAGTGCCACTGGTCTGTAATCCAGGTGATTCTTTAACAGGTAGCTATAGTAGTACACGTAGCGTCTCTGACTGGGAATTGTCACTCCCTGAACAGAGGGAAAACAAACATCAGAAACCATCAAGACCATTTATTAGCATCACTAACAGAACTCCTGCCCATTACCTCAGAATATAACTAAAGGCAAATAAACCACAAATGAAAAGGTAGCTAAAGCACCTGGAATAAACTATTGTGATTTATGCTGAGTATACCTCTGCAGCAGCTACGCTGGAGACCAGCACACAGAATAAAACATCTAAGATGGCTGTACCTAGAAAGCAGTGGAGTGCTGCACTGCTTTCTACACTGCACAGAAACCCAGCCAGATGGGATTTTTGGTACAGTAACTCGTGACGATCTTCAGCAATTTCTTCATTGTGGACCACGCTAGGCACCTTAAGGACTAGCAAAGACATAAGCCACCTCCAAACCATCCTCAAAGACAGCCTCTGTACACATTCCCCTTTTCCCTAGACACATGTCCACACCTCTTGTACTCATCCTGCAGAGCGTTTAAGAGGAAGCTCTTTGCACACATTATCTAACATCAGGCGATTAATTACCGACCAGTCCCCAGCACGGAACAAGCTAGTTTTCCAGTTACTTTAGTACATACCTCCAAACATCCACCTCAATGAGGCAAAGAATGCAGGTTTTTCCATATCATAAAAACAAACACCTCAGAGACCCTGAGGGCCATGTAAAAGATGGTTTCATGCTGCTACTTTTTTTTTGGGGTGGGGAGTGTCAGACATTAAGCAGGAGGTGCCTTGAACATATGAATTTTTAAGCACTGACACAGGAATTACACTTCAACAGCAGTTTAAGTCAAAAGATTCTAATTTTGTTTGCTAATATCACTGTACTCAAGACTGAGGCTACCTATTACAAAATGCCCTTCTGAAATGTTTTCACAAAAATCAAAAGTGCAAAGTTTCATTTACTATAAACCCAATAGCCTAAACTGTTAAATGAAGGACGTCTCAGTTTAATTACAACTCTGAAGTAATCGTTTGCTTTGAGAACATATAACCAAAGAACATTTAAATTACTGATTTTAAATCAACTTAAACTTCAAGTAAGGGAAGAGTTTTAAAGCTCTTATCACTAATATTTTCAAGCAAAAGTGATAAAGATGAAAAATAATTTAATTCCCTAGAAAATGTATTACATGGTTTATAATAATCCATACTATATACTTGCAACAGCATCAGTAAGTAAACTTCCATATTAAAACTAAATGTTAAATTGCAATATACTGGAGATAACAAAAGGTTTTCCTATACAAGTCTGAGCGTTATGGTCACAAAACCTAGGACACAGTATTTCTACAAACTATTAGTTCTAATACCTACTTCACTTTACAACATCCATAAGCTAAGAGTGGCCAGAGTACTTTTTATTTAGCAAGCATCTATCATGTCCTGCTTCTATTTAAAAAAATACATTGATAATTATATCTCCTTACTACTTCAGCTGCTTCTAAATTACACAAAAGACTTTATCCCACAGGACTTGTACAATGACCTTCTTAAGTAGCCTTCTACACTGACAATGTTTTTGGTTCAGATGTCATCTCAGTAGTTATCAGACCCACTGCTTAAGGGAGCTTTAAAGTTTGCTTTCCTGGGATCTGAGCTTCACAACTGAGAAAATCCCAGCCTGAGAGCAAATCATCAGTAATTTGCCAATGCTGCCAACTAGAAGCAAACCATGCAGGTAAGGAAAACGCATCCCTCTCTGCTCGTAGCTTCTCCATGTCATAAAGGATGTGCCCTACGGAGAAACCCCAGCACACCTTATCAGGACAAACAGGGCTGGGATCAGAACAAAGGGAACACAATCACTTTCATAGCTATATAAAGTGATAGTCGATCTCAAAGCAAAACCAGTTCTCAGCCAAGAGGGCAGTTTTATCCCTTCAGCCAGAGACCTTTACTCCCCAGACACATAGTCTTTTCCCTGAGATCCTAAGAACCAGCCACACTGAAGTGGAACAGAAAGTTCCCCATTTTCCAAAAGTCTGATTTCAAAGCAGAACACTCTCATAACAAGCTAATATTCTGAGAGGTGCAATCGATCCCCACTTACTTTTACTCAAGAAGAATAAAAGAACAGAGAAGCAGTTTAAGTATTTTCTCCTCAAGCAGCTTACATTTCCCATTTATCACCATCATCATTTTTAAAATGGACATTAGATAAGCTTCTCTAGCCCCTATGCCAGAGTTTCACAGGGCACTGCAGAGCTGTGCAGACACAACAAAAATTCTCAGGTGCTGCTCCTGGTTCTCCTCTCAATGAAGCATGGGCAGTATCATGAAGAACAAACATTTTTGGAAGTAATATTCCCACATTCACTTTAATAACATGCCCTATTGCGAGAGCAAAGCTAAAGCTGCAGCCTCAGACTAGACTTACAGCATCAGGTTTAGCAGAGTTTGTCACCTGAGTACGTTGAACAAACAGGCATCGCAACTGATCAGCTCTGTCACATCAGACATTGGCTGTCTACCCTGCTGAAAGAGTCATTCTGAGACTTCCCCACACAAAATAATTGGTTTCCATTTCCTGTTCAGTTACACCACTATTAGGAGCTGTTCCTAAAAATACAACACTATGATGGTCAAACAATGCTCCTGAACAGATCATCTCCAGCTCAAGCACTTGAATAGTTGCTCCCAGCTGATACCTATCTGTTGAGTAGACTATGCTTCCTTACAAGACTAATCCTCACCATAAAACCTTCAAGGCAGAAGTGGGAATAAATAAAGACCTTCTCCAGCTGTAGGAAGGTAAGTTGTCAGTCTTCATCATCACAGTAGTATTTCAGTGTCCATCTTAAGGAAAAAACAGGTGATAAGCTAACTATTTCAAACAATGAAAGCAGCAGCTTTTTTAGAAGACTTTTTTTGGGGTTCAGTTCTCCCTCAGCTCTGAAAACAGGCTGGACAACTAACAGTTCTTTATCCAATTTCAGAAAACAGTTTGTCTCCCTTAGTTCAAAGAGAAAACAGAAATCATTCCTGTTCTTCTACAGTGGTGGTGACTGATAGACACAACCATTTAAGCCAATACTTTCTAATCTTCATCATTCTCTTCTTCTGAAAAAGGATCCTCCCACTATGATGAGTTACAGAATTCAAAAGAGGCAGCTTATAGGAAAAAAAAACAAACAAAAAAACCCCATTTTTTTGTCAGAGACAGACTTTTAGACTCAGTTTTGCAATGTTTTATTCCGCACTACCTTTCCCAGGACGACAGTGTATTAACAGACTATCTAGGAACTGTCAGCCTCATCTACAACTCTCACTTGATGTTGCAAAGGCCTCTATGAAGCTTCTTCTCCCAAAAGACACTTGGGAAATGCTTGCTACAGAAGTACTTGAGATTGTTCTCTTGACCAATTAGTCATACTTCCTCTTGCAATTAGACTCACACTTCCTGCCAGCATGGACTAAACCCTCTCAAGAATCACTCTGCCATGCACATTAATGGCAGCAACAGCGATTATAGCTATACTATTCTGAGCAGCTATACACAAACTGTGCACCTTGTGCTTGCTTTAAATGAAGAAAATTTGGTACCTAATTAAAGCCAGTTTTCCTTCATCATGCATACGTTGGTCCAGAAAAAAAAAAAAAAAAAAAAAAAAAAAGGCATTTTCTTGTCCCTAGGTGCAAACAATTCTGTTGATGCCTCCTTTACCTTGAGTTCAGGAAGTCAGTTATATAAAGGTGTGGTGAAGTGTCAAATCAGAGAGCAGCACTTGACCTAGAACACTGAAATACAGGCCGCAAGGGAAGAAAAAGCTCCCAGAACCTACCTACACTAGAATACCTGTTTATAAACACCACTTTAAGGATTACGTGAATCACGCGCTGCCCACCATCCACATAAAGATAACCACACTCAAGGGGG